CCCAGCGCCCCTGGAAGGCGCCCAGCCAGGTGGCCAGCGCGCAGATCTTGGCGCTGCATTCCCACAGGTTGCCGGAGAGGCCCACCATGGTCAGGGACGGGAGCGAGCTCAGGATCCTGGAGTCCAGCGTGGTGAGCTTGTTGTTATCCATTAGGAGGGTTTTCAGGTTAGGCATCGTTTCAAAAACCGTCACGTCGATGGCTTTGATTTCGTTTCCCGTCAAGTCGAGCTTTTCTAAGGTGCCCCAGGTCCACTCCATCCCGCACGTCAAGTTGCTAATTTTGTTCCACTGCAAGAAGAGCGTGTTCAGGCTGCTCAGCCGGAGGAAATGAGCAAAATTAATCTTTGTCAGCTGGTTGTGCTCGAGGTGCAGCTCCCGCAGCTTGATTAATCCCGCAAAGCCGTTGCGAGCCAAACTTCGCAAGCGGTTTGTGCTCAAATCCAGAAACTCCAAGCTACGGCAGTCCCAGAACAGGCGGACCGGGATAGTCCGCAGGGAGTTGGAACGCAAATGCAAGGTTTGTAGTTTGCGAAGGCCATAGAACAACTCCGGGTGCAGGGAGGACAACTGATTAAAAGAGAGGTCCAAATTTTGCAGGTTAAGCAGCTGGCTAAAAGTGGTGTTTGGCAAATGAAAGATTTTGTTGGAACTTAAGACTAATTCCTTAAGTTTATACAGTCCTTGAAAAGAATCTTCTCTGACTGTAGAAATTTGATTATGATCTAAGTGAAGCCAAGTAAGTTGACTGAAGCTCGCAAATTGATCCCTCTCAAGTTCAGTAATATAATTGTGCCTCAATGACAAACCTAGAGAGCCCTTTTCAGTGGTGTTTGGCACTGAGTGAAACCCCTGAGAGTCACAGTAAAAGAGCAGCTTCTCACAGCGACATTTTGGTGGACAAGCCATGCCCAAGGCAGGCAGCATTTTTAAAACCATACTCATTGCATATAGTGCTGCCAGCATACGAGCCCCTAATGGCCACTCGAAATGTAAGCCTGCAGAATATAATTTAGGGAAACAACAAGATAGGATATCCTTATCAGTATACTTTGAACATCACGATGGACGATTGCACTGCAGAAAACATTTCCATGCATTTCTGACAAGCTAAGGCTAAAAGCAAGAAACAACTTTACGCTAAGCACCGACTACTTGGATATTGCGATTAGGAGCGAGTCATTAGCGCTGTTACAGAGGATTACGGTCTCGCAATCCAAAAACCTTTTTCATAACGTTCATCTCACAGAGAGAGAGAGAGAAAAAAAGATCTGCTTTAGCACCTACTGCTTTAAAGCAGAGCAGTTCATTCGTTACCCAAGAGAGAGAGAAACGCATGAACTTACCCATTCTTTTGAGCACATTGGAGGTTGCATTCAGTCGTAGTGTCAGACTCAACGCGGTGAGTCTGCGAAGGGCTCGGGTGCGAGGCAGCCTCTCAGTAACCGACGGGCCGTAGCGTCCCCGGGTAATTAGTGCAAAAATGACCCCGCGATCCTCCCTCCGAGTATTCCTTAGGAAGGCGCTGCCGTGCCCTCCCCAGGCAGCTCCGCGCCGGGGCGATCGCTGCTCAGCGCGACGTTGCGTCCGCGGCGAACGTCCGTTCGCCCCCAGCTGCCGTGCTCCGATGGCGCGGCGGTGCCTCCCTCCCCTGCGAACTTGTTGATGGCAGCGGGGCGGCTTATTGCTGAGCGCAGCTCCCGGAGTGGCATGGGTGCGATTGCCGGGAAGCTTTTCGGCGGAGCCAACGCGTTTGCTTATGTGCCGCGGCCACGCAGCAGCGCTGGCTCCGGGCTGACGTCACCCGCTGACGTGCCTTTTGTTTGGGTTTTCCAGAAGCTTTGCTGCTTTCAGGCGCTGTGCTGCATCCTGCCGGCACGCTACAGACCCCCGGGAAGGGGGGCGGGAAGCCCCAGGCGCCGCACTTGCTTTTGTACTTAATCGATTTATTCCTGGGGGCTGGAGTGTAGGAGCTGGAGGTTGGCGCTTACCATGGGGGCTTGGAGCGGTTGGCAGGCTTCATTCCAGTGATATTCCCGTGTTTCCCAGGAAAATGCAGGCATCGCTCCTGCTGGGATCTCGCGGCAGCCGAGGGCCAGGCTGTTGTGGTGCTCCAAGCGCTTGGTGCGATGCTGACGCAGCGACCTGGCCCTGCTGCTGCCCGAGCAGCATCTCGTACCCCAGGCTAGCCCCATCTCTACCTTCAGTTATCCTTGTGTCTGGAGCAAACGCTTTTCCGGATTTTTGTCCCTGTTTTTCCTTTTTTGTGCCTGCAGGGCACCATTCAGTGAGGCTGCTCTGGCCTTGACTCCAGTGGGAATGAGACCTGGGGGAGTATTTGCTCCCTTCTGACAACTCCTTGAATAAGTGCTTGTCTCTTATGTTCACTCTGCGACATGCAGCAATATTCTATATTATAAAACATTATGCAACAGTGAGATGGCATTTATGGTCTCAAGAGTGGGAATGAGAAGAACAAACTGCCCTTTCTAATGGAGAGACCAAGACAAATTGTGCCACAAAGAGGTTTGAAAAAGGCCACCTGCTTTGGGGACTTGACTTTGGTCCCTTAGAGGTGGTCACGTTTAAAGTGAACTTGCTTTCTGCCTGCTTCTCCCTTCTCTCTGTCCTCCAGTTAAATTACAGCACTGATTGCAGTACGTCATTTTGGCGGTGGATTGTCCTTTCCGGAGCAGAACTATAACTTAAGGGACATAGGAAGCAGCAAGGGAAGGGATGGAGAAGGTGAACTGTAGAAGAAGATGCTAAGAATGCTGCTGGCCTTAATGATAAAGCAAATTAGACCATGCAAGTTAAACTGCTCAGGCCTAATAAATATTTTCATATTTGCAGTAGGTTGAAAGAAACATGTGCAAATAAATCACGCAAACATATTTAAAGACTTTTTTCATAGTATTCACTTTGCAAAAATAAAATCCTACAAGCAAAAATCCGTCTGAAGCCATCGGCTGCCAGTTGCCTTCTGGAGCTGACAGTGTGCTTGTCAGGGCAGCTCGCCTGCTACGAAATCCTGCTTGCTAGTGTCCATTCGAATTTTTGTAGCTTCTATAAACAACATTGCGTGGGTGTAACTAATAAAATGAAAAAAAAAAGCTCTAATATCACCTGTTGCCACCATCTTGTGCTACCTCTTCACATTATCACCAGGAGCCTGAATTTAGATTTGGGGCAAATGGTTCTGTCTTTTCGCGTTGGTATCTGCTGGCAGGTTCCTCCCACCTGCAGATTGCAGCGTTTGGCAGAGTTAGGAGCTAATGTTCAGACCCGCAGAGGCTGCTTGCTTGCTGGAGCACCCAGTGCTTTGGCTCTCAACCACATCAGGGCAGTTATTTAGCACCTTGCTGGCACATTTCCTGTTTGGGACACTGTTAACGGGAGCTTTCTAGATGCTTTTCTTGGTGAAACCTGTTTTTACCTGTGCTAGTTGGGAAATAAGAGCTCTTTCCAAAAGGCTACAACTGATTCCTTTTTAGATTTGAAGCTCTCCACTAATGTTTGAGTTGTTCCCTGGGCGCGGTTGTTGAGCTGGGACACATGTGAATTGCAAAATCCACAGCGTTGCATTTCTTCTGACACTGAAAACTTGCTTGTGTGCCGAGGAAAACCATGTTGCAGTGCCATCTGGAGCCTTCTCCCAGCACCGGCATGCCGAGGAGGAGGCGGATGCAGCGCGGGGGCAGGGAAACGGCCATCCCCCTCCCAACGACGAGAGCGGCCGGAGCCACCGAAACCTCCTGGGAATGTGGTGGTTGCGCAGCAAAAGGACTGCTCCCATCGCGTGTGGAAGCGGAGCCGGCGGCTCACGTTGCCATTTGGCGAGGCTGACATCTTGTGGAAGGCGTCCGAGTGCCTCAGGAGCGGCGCCTCAGCGCGCTCTCCTCAGCGGGGCCGCGCGCCTTGCACCGGTGGCTCGGCAGGCACCAGCAGCTTGTGTGCGGCTGCGCAACTGGGGGAACTTCCCCTTGGGCACCAAGCGAGCCCATCGGTGCTGTGGGGGCTCTGGAGGGAGCACATAGGAGTGATGGCCAAGAGCAGGTCTCGTATCCTGGGCTTCCTGGAGCTTGGCGGCACTCAGTGTCTCTAAGCGTGTGGCTGCTCTCTCTGCCCGGCGACGTGAGCTCTTGTGTGTCTTGTAGAC